TAACTAATGCATACGAGGAAAGCAGTAAAAGAGAAGAGATATGAAGAAAACCCTTCGAAGCGAGCTTTTATAAATCTTGAACTAGAGGACGCTTTTTGGCAGTCACGCACTCTACAAAGGCACTCCTCCCTCGAACAAAAATAATAACTAAACTCCTCGAGTGTCAAAAAGATCACTCGTACTCTGGAATAATGCTCAGAGTTGCTTAGAAGTCTCAAAAAATAGGTCCTCAGAGCATAGGAAAGTTTGTGGCCTGTCCAAATGAGCTAGAATGAGCCCATATTTATAGCAAATTGTGTCAGGCAAGCCGGGATGGTCGTCTGGGCTTCTGACAGGTGGGACAGCTATCTGGAAAAATGGGACTGTCGTCACAGGCTCAAGGAAAAGTGGGATAGTCGTCTGGGAAAGTGGGATAGTTGTCCCAAGCTTCAAGGAAGGTGGGACGACCGTCTGGGAAAGTGGGACGGTCGTCCCAAGGTTCAAGGAAGTGGGACGACCGTCTGGGAAAGTGGTACGGTCGTTCCAACGTAAATGACAAGTGGGACAACCGTCTGGAGATGTGGGATGGCCATCCCACATTTTCTGATTTTTCTAAATTTTTATTTTCTCAAAAATCTCTCCATAGAACCTAGTGAATGCTACTAGGGGCCTAATGGAGCCTTAACCATCTTCGAAATGGAGGATTTCTGAGAGCTACTGTTTGACCCGGGTAAGATTTGGGGTGTACATTTGCCCCTCCCCCCTTTCACCTACTAGACCGGATATAGGCGGACGTGTTGTAAGGCCGGATGGTGGGTGAAGGAGTTGACTCTCTTACCGGGTCGTCCTTCGGATGTTCCTTTGGTGTGATAGCTAACCCTCTAGACGATGAATGTGAAGCTCTGGGTTGCTTCTTTGGCGTGGTTGATGAGTACTAACCCCCATAGGTTTTGCAGTCCACTTTGTAGGGTTGGATGAGTACGCACCTCCATCTGGTTTGACGAGTACAAACCCCCGTCTGGTTTGCAGTCCACTTTGTAGGGTTGGATGAGTATGCACCTTCATCTGATTTGACGAGTACGAACCCCCATCTGGTTTGCAGTCCACTTCGTAGGGCTGGATGAGTACGCACCCCTGTCTGGTTTGCAGTCCACTTCGTAGGGCTGGATGAGTACGCACCCCATCTGGTTTGACGAGTACGAACCCTCGTCTGGTTTGCAGTCCACTTTGTAGGGATGGATGAGTACGCACCCCCATCTGGTTTGATGAGTACGAACCTCCGTCTGGTTTGTAGTCCTTTCCTTGGACTAAACTGTGTAGTAGCGGCTTATTAATCTCGTTCATGCACTGACTCCATGGGGAGTAGTTCTTTGCTTTGAAAATTGTTTTTGTCTGGTGTACCGGTAATATTTTGATTTTTGGCTTTTTGTGATTGTTATCTAGCTTGTTGATTGTTAGAGATTCTTTGATAAATGTCTCTTGGATAGGCAGAATCCACTAGAGATTTGTTGATTATAATAATAATGTCTCTGGGTAGGCGGATGCTTCATTTGAAGGTGAAGACTTTTGATTGCATTTTTTGTGCCTCTGAATAGGTTGATGTTCCCTTCGGAGATGTTGCTTCTTGCTTGCCAGGTTTTGCCTATGCATAGACAAATGACTTTACGAGGATATGACTCTGAAGATTACCTTTCCAGTAGGCTCATTGGGGAATTCTTGGAAGCTCCACTACATAGCCAAATTTAGAGACTAACACAAAAGTAGAAACTGTAAAAAATGATTTATGCCATAAACCCAAATAGCCAAATTTAGAGAGTAACACAATAAGTAGAAACTACAAAAAATGATTTACAGCATGAACCCAATTAGACTGTGAAGATGAGAGTGCAATTAGACTGTGCAGATGAGAGTGTGTAGAAGTGAGTGCGGGGAAGGAAAAAGAGTGTGAGGTGAAAAAGAATGAAGAAGAAGAAACTGTGGGATGAAGTGCAACAAAAAAAGAAAAAGAAGGAGCATGGGATGAGAGTATGAGGAGAAATAGGAAGCGTGGTTAAAAAAGAAAACATAAGCTTGAGATAGAAACCAAAAAGATATTTTTAAGAATGAGCATGAGGAGAAAGAGAAAGCTTGAGAGAGGAAGGCAATGGATGCATGAGAGGGAAGCCAAAGAGATTTTTTTATTTATATTTTTAAATATTTTTTGTTTCTTCTTATTTTTTGACATTGTCCAAATTTATACAAGTACTCAATTTTGTAAAAGATATTATTTTATTTTTTATAATTTTGTAGAGACGACCCATGTCAAAAATGATCTATGATCCATCTAATTGTATATTTTATAGATTCTGTATTTTATGACGTGGTCTGAATTTGAAATCTTTAGCATTCACTAGTGCAAAAATGACATTTTACGTCACCCAATTGCCGTCGCATGTCAAAATATTCGACGTAAATAAAACGTGGTGGTAATTTTGTAAATAAGAGGTGAAACCTTTACGTCGCATATTGTAGGAGGTGACATTAAAAACCTCTTTTACGTCGCACCTGGTACAACGCGACATAAAAGAGAGCTTTTTAAGTCGCATGGGGTGTGCGCGACATAAAAAGTGATACTTTTTACGTCACGTGGGGGGTGTGTGACGTAAAAAGTATCATTTTTTACGTCACATGGGGGGTGTGCGACGTAAAAAGTGATACTTTTTACGTCACATGGGGGGTGCGTGACGTAAAAAATATCACTTTTTACGTCACATGGGTTGCGCGACGTAAAAAATGATACTTTTTACGTCACATGGGTGGTGCGCGACGTAAAAACACTTTTTACATCGCGCACCCCCCCACGCGACGTAAAAGAGGCTTTTTACGTCACGTACTAGGGTGTGCGACGTAAAAAGTTCTTTTTATTCTCTTCTTTACCCACTCCTGCATCTCGCGCCGCAAGGGTTTTTTAGAACGACAATGAGAACGACGACGATAGCTACCTTTCCACACCATTTTCAATCATTTTGGCAGTGAAGAACATCAACATTGTGTCTCATTTTACAAATTTGACATTTCTCCCCGATTGGATTCAAGTTTGAAATCGTTTTCGTGTTTACTCGAGGTTAGTGTTCTATGTCTCCTGATATATGTTCAAATTGAATCCGTGATTGTTTTTGGGGATCTCAATCACGTCATTGTATCAATGTCTCCACTGGATTGTTATTGGAATGTCATTATTTTGTTTGAGTGCATTTTCGGTTTACATACTCCATATACTTGCTTTATTGTTTGTATATTAATTTATTTTTAAATATAAATTTTGAATCTCTAGGAGTGACGAAACTTTATAACATAATATGAATCGAAGTTGGATGAATGCACGTCGTATTAGTGAAGAGTACGAAAAGGGAGTTGATGAATTTTTGAAATTTGCTAGTGAAAATGGAAAAGGTATTGAATAATATATGGCCTTTTTCATTTAGAATCGTGTCTATAACTAATGTTCTAAGTGGAAAACCCGAACAAAGACTTTGCAGTTCATTTATCCTAAGGTTAGAAACTTATTATAATAAGTGAATACCATAATTATTGTTTGTATTTAAATTTTGAAAATAACATTATATTTTATTCAACATTTCAGATGTAATAAGCAAACGAGACTCATTTGAATGTGGTTACTATGTTATGTATTGGATGAGAGTCATAGTTTGTGCGGGTATAACTAATTCTTGGACGGAGGTAATTGCTTTCAGCATTAGTTAAGTTTATTTAACTTTATGTGTGTTGCATGTTTACAAGAGTCAAATTAATGTTTCGTGTATTTCAAGATCCATCTCCATTGCTGGAATATGATATCACACAAATTAGAGAATAATGGGCAAGGTTTTTCGTTCAACAATTCTAGTACATAATTTTTTAAGTTCTTGTTCATATTATATTGTGTGTATTATGTAGTTTATGTAGCTTAGTTTGTATTAACATTTAGTTTGTAATAGATTTTTTAGTTTGTATGTTTGTATTATATTGTTTTATTATGTAGTTTGAATTATATAATATTATATTTTTAATTTACTAGCTAAAGAAAATTGAACATCTTGATCTGTCTGGTTGTAATATATATTTACAGTGTTTTAGTTGTAAAACGTAATCAACTCAATTTTAAAAAATAACGAGAAATTTACGTCGCATATAAATATATGCGACGTAAATTTGCTTTTTTTTTATTTTCAAAGTTTTTACGTCTGTTTAGTGGTATATGCAACGCAAAATTACGTCGGGTCTTGATAACTGACGTAAATTTACGTCGGGCTAAAGAGTCCGACGTAAATTTACGTCTCCCGTTTTAACGTCAGTCTTAAATATGATGTAAAAAACCCTAAATACCTGACGTAAAATTCCCTTTTTGCACTAGTGATTTCTTTTCGTCCATTCTTCTATTCCTTAAATTACTTTCCCTTCTACAAAATCACGTATACAAATAATATCATACTCAATTACGTAACCTAGCTACCTAGCAAGAGTTGCTGCAACAATATTACACGTTTTTCTTCTTTCTTTCGGATTCTCTAGAATTGCAAGTGATGTACATGCATGCAGCCAAGAAATCTATAAAAATATCTCACACAACCAACACATATCTTAACATCTTACTATAGATTAATCCCGCCAGAAACAAATAGTTAAAATTACTTGTTCTGTAATAGTTTTAACTTTTGTGTGAAATTATTAAATGATCATGACGAGACAATATCTATCGTAGAGGATAAAACACCGACAAATGGTGCGGCCATTAATACACAACCATTTATCGTTCTACCTCGTAACCAAAACCCTTCGTTCTCTTTGTTCTTGGCTTTCTCATTTGTTTCTTCAGTTTCGTTCCCTTTGAAACAAGTCATTTCCAATTTCAAGAACATGGCTCTTCTTCCTCTTCTCTTCACCTTCTCCTCCGCTATTCTTCTCCTATTATCAACTGCTTCAGCCACCACCACCCGAACTACCTCAACACTGGGAAAAGACCAAGTTCCAAACATAATGTGCTATGAGTGCGAGCATCCACATTCACCCCCACCCCCAGTAATAGAGTGTCCACCGCCACCCTCACCTCCACCGCCGATACCACCATCACCTCCACCACCCTCACCTCCGCCTCCGATACCACCATCACCTCCACCACCTGTTGTTGAATGTCCACCGCCGCCAAAACGGCCAAAACCACAGTCACCACCACCACCACAGCCTGTTGTTATATCTCCACCGCCGCCAAGACCAGAGTGTGGAGGTGGAGGTATTGATTGCTTGCTACCCCCTATGCCGGGGACACCAGACAAACAGGAATATTTATCGCCACCGCGCCTTCCATACCCGCCGGGAACGCTAGATCTTGACGAGATTATCAACGGTGCAAAGATGCTACGCTTTTCATACCCTAGTTACTTCTCGTTGCAAGCCTTCACATTTCTAATCCTTCTTTGGCTTCCCTATTACTTGTTCATTTGATACATGCATTATTGTTTCCAAAATTCTTGTACTGTGCATGAGGAACAAATTGTGAAAGAGAAGAGGGAAGAAAATGAAAAGAAAAAAATGCTCTTCTGACATGGCTATTTGCTTAGTGCGTCAATTTGTTGTCTCGTTTTGGTTTGTGCGTGTTTTGATTGGTGTTGAATGAACGATCAAATAAATATTGTACAACTTGTTCACTGATTAAAATGTATGTTTAATTCCATGGTCTATTTTATTTATTTTATATATCTTGCTTTAGATAGATATAGCTTCGATCCATTTACTCTTAAGAAAATGATACTTAGACAAGGCAAAGCAGAAGAATAAGTGGTTTGTCTTACAGTGGATTATTATGATCAACTTATTAACCATTAAGATAAGAAAATAAAAGATTGAATGAAGATTAGTTCTATTAAAATTGCTCTAAATACCGATAACATATATAATTACATATTAATTAATTAATATATCGACAACTACAAAAATCAATGATGATTTGGGATGGTAACTGGATTAGGTTTATCCGGCCTAAAAAATCTATCTCAACATTTGTTTCGTTACCCGCGGATACTATTTTGAAAAGAAAAAAAAAACTGAGAATTACTGTGTCTTTCAAATATTTATGGATTCTCAAGGTTACTTTTTTATTTTTAAAAATTTTAAATATGGTTATTTTAAAATTATTTTTTAATAAATTTAAATAAATTTTTATTTTAAAATATAATCCAAATAAAATTGTATCATAAAATTAGTATATAAATTAGTTTTTTTTTTAAATTCAAATAAATTATATCTAATGTATAAATTTAAATAAAAATTATCTCTTTTAAAAATTATTTTATTTCTATAAATTTAAATAAAAATACATAAAATCAAATTGTAAATAATTATTTAATATATTAATGTTTTTTTTCACCAATAATATCATTTGAATTAATTTATAAAAATATACGAGATATCTATTAACAAGAAATTAAAATACTCATATTATATTCATTAAAAGTATACATTTTATTTTTTATCCATTTTTATATGTAAACATAGTGATATAAATCACAAGGGGTGATTTAGGATCTTTAAGGTTAGAACCTTGTAGGAAATGTAGTAATTTAGTGATAAGGTGGAAGGAAAGAATCACTTTTTCCAAGGAAGGCAACACACAAAGGATGTGAAAGTCCTTTGATACAGCTAAATATTATTGAATCACTCAAGAACTTAGAAGAATCACTCTCATTAAGATAAAAGAGATAAACTCTAATATTTCTAAAATTAAACTCAACTTGTTATTTCTGATAAAAATGGTTCAGCTGATATAGAAGTTTTGCCATCAGAGTTACAAAAGACTCAATAAAAGAAAATAAATACTAATAATAACTCATTAATCTAGGAATTGAAAACTATTTAATGGAAACAAATAAAAACTAATAATGATACATTAACCTAGGAATTGAAACTACTTAATGACTGATTGTATCTGAAACTGTGACAACCAAAAGTCAGCTATGCACCTCTTGGTCTCCCAAAGGCTGATGACTAAATTTTCAATTGGGCCCTTATTACAACTTAAAACAAAATCAAACTAAAGTTCATTAATTGATTAATTCAAAACATAATTTGGTCAACCAACAATTTTTGTTGAAGAGCTTCCTTTATTTCCCTTACTTTAGCCCTTATCATAAGTCATATTCACATCATTCTCTTCCTCTTGAAAATGATTTGTCCTCAAATCAGATTCACCATCTACATAATATAAGTCTGACAAATTAAATGTAGAACAAACATTATACTCACTTTTTATGGTTAAATAGCTCTGTTTCACTTCAAGTGTTTCACTCTTCTTCTTTTTTTCTCTCTTTTCATGAAGAAATTTTTCTCTCATTCTCTTTTTATCCTCCTCTGCCATCAATTTGATGTTCAAACCTTTAAACCGGGGCTCTGAATACCAACTGATATGAATCTCAATTACATAAGGGGTAATTTAGGATCTTTAGGGTTAGAACCTTGTAAGAAATTTAGGAATTAGAAAGAAGGTGGAAGGAAATAATCACTCTTTCCAAGGGAGGCAACACACAAAGGATGTGACAGTCTTTTGATACAGCCAAGGGTTCTTGAATCACTCAAGAATTTAGGAGAATCACTCTCACTAAGATAAAAGAGATAAACTCTAATATTTCTAAAAATAAACTCAACTTGTTATTTCTGATAAAAATGGTTCAACTGATATAGAAGCTTTGCCATCAGAGTTACAAAAGACTCAATAAAAGAAAATAAATATTAATAATAACCCATTAATCTAGGAATTGAAAACTATTTAATGGAAACAAATAAAGGCTAATAATGATCCATTAACCTAGGAATTGAAACTACTTAATGACTGATTGTATCTGAAAATGTGGCAACCAAAAGTCAATCAGCTATGCACCTCTTGGTCTCCCAAAAGCTGATGACTAAATTTTCAATTGGGTCCTTATTACAACTTAAAACAAAACCAAACTAAAACTCATTAATTGATTAATTCAAAACATAATTTGGTCAACCAACAATATTTGTTGAAGAGCTTCCTTTATTTCCCTTACTCTAGCCCTTATCATAGGTCATGTTCATATTAAAATTATTTTGTTCTAAACTAAACTTTATTACATTTAACTCAAACATCATAATGTGTATATTTTTCGAAGTAGATGGATAAATTAATTATAATTTAGTTTATACTAATTAATAATAATTTTATCTATAGCAATTCAATATATATATATATATATATATATATATATATATATATATATATATATATATTGTAAGGGTGTTGATAAAGTGTATATTTTAAAATTACAAAATACGCATCCTATACTCTTTATATATTATATTTCATTATAAATTAAGCTATTACCATTTAATTTAAAAATAAAATTGTATTCTATGGTGTTTAACAATTTGAAGATTTAAAAAAATAGGATATTTTTTTTCTTTTAAAAAATCCGTATTTTAATTAGATACCCTACACGAGTCGACATTTTTAAGTGATTATGAAACCATAAAATATGAACACCAAGAGATGGTGTGGGCACCAAAAAGCCTTCATTCCCTTCTTTTCTTTCTCATTTCTCTGCCTTCAATTTCACTCCCTCTGAAACAAACCATATCCAATGAACATGGCACATCTTCCTCTTCTGTTCACCTTCTCCTCCATTATTTTTCTCCTATCAACACTATTCTCCACTGTTTCAGCTACCACCACCACTACCCAAACAACCTCAACACTGGGAAAAGGCCATGTTCCACGCATAATGTGCATTGAATGCGAGCTTCCACCTCCACCCCCAGTAATAGAGTGTCCACCTCCACCCCCAGCAATAATAGAGTGTCCACCTCCACCGATTCCACCATCCCTACCTCCGATTCCACCAGCGCCTCCACTGCCGGTTCCACCATCACCTCCACTGCCGATTCCACCGTCGCCTCCGCCACCAAGACCATCATTAACACCACCACCGCCACCACGGGTGCCAAGACCACCGTGTGAAGGTGGTGGATGCGTCCCCCCTATACCGACATCACCAGACGGCCCGGGATACCTAGTGCCACCGCCTGCTCCGAACCCGCCAGGAATAGATCTTGATGATCTCGACGGTGCAACGATGATGTCACTTAATTGGAGTTATTTCTCATTCCACTTCTTTCTTTTTTTGCTCTTGCTTTGCCTTCCCTATTATTTGTTCATTTGAAGCATCCCTTGTGTTCGGTAACTGTCAAGCGTCAATTGATGTTTAGCTTCTGTGTTGAATTAAAGAGGTGATTAACAAGTTCAGAAATAGGTCACACCACATAAAAAAAATTGTATTTTGATTTTGTACCAAGAAAAATGCTATCTCAGAAAAACTTTTGCCTCACACAAAATATGAACCTTCTGAAATTTGTTAAATCTATTTTATAAATACTTTAATTTTTATATTTTTCTACAAATTTAAATATATTAAATTTAAATTAACTTCATCTCAAATTATTTAATTTTTCAATGTTGTGGTCGAGTTAGATAATTTAAATTCATTATAAATTCATTAGAGTTTATTTTTTAATATAATTTATTCTAACAAACATTAAACTTATTTTAATAACAATACTTTATTTGTCAATATTATTTTTCCTCTAGCTTAAGCTAAAGTTAAGAAGATATTTTTCTTTAATTAACATGAATGAATGTTATTTTCAGTTACTATTTACAATATTTATTATAATTGACATGGATTAGAGTTGATTTTTTAAAGACTTGTTTAGCCAATTTTTCCATGTTAAGTTAAAGAAATTTTACAAATAACATTACAAAAATCAATCCCGTCAAAATAATTATTAGGTCGATATTAAAAACAAAATTTAATCAACTCAGAAACAAAAATATTAGTAAGATCAATCAAATTAGTCCAATGTACATAAAAAAAATACAGCAAATTTCAACTAAAAAAATATAAATCACATTCACTAAAATGAATCATATCGATATTCGTAAAATAATCGTGACTAATATCACTAATAAATAATTTAAACAATGTTATTAACTTGAAAAAAATTAAAATCAATGTTAATTATAAAATCCTAACGTATATAGATCGAATTAAGTCAATAAAATAACATAAAATTAAGTTATTAAAATAACATTAGCAATAACAAATAAAAATAGTCATTATTAACTTCAACTTAAAAAAAAATAGTGTGGATATTAATAAAAAATACAAAATCAAACTAATTATCAACTAAACCAACGATGTCATAGATGATCGTTAGAAAAATCGTCTTCTAATTCAACTCGACGAGAAAATAAGAAGAAAAGAAATATAGATATAATAAAATACAAGACTACAAAGTATTTTAAATTTTCACTTTTTATATAATATTTAAAATGATATAATTTTAAACTATCTTTAAAAATCTTAAAATCTCAAATTCTTTTAACTTTTTTTCTCTAAATAACATTTTTTTTATTATAAAGGATTTCAAATTTTGAATAAAAAAAAATTATAATCTAAAAATTTTCCCTCATAATTAACACAACATTAATTTTGTAATCCATCTTTGTTTAAGATTACCATTATACCACGTTAGTATTAACTTAATGTGTTTCATACGAACTTCCTTTATACTAACTATGAGCTCTGTTGTGCCAAATGAAATTGATGTAGAGTTAAGAAATGAGTTTTACACAGTACGAAATTTAAAAGAATAACCAAATTGTGAAATCTTAATATAATTTTCTTATTCAAGTTGTAGTAATTTTTTGTATGATAATTCTGCAAATAATAATGAACCTAAACAAGGAATAAATAGAATCCGGTTGTTTGTTTGATATGAATTGGAAGTGATAAAAGTGGAGGGAAATGAATGGAGCTTGGAATAAGAAAGGAACACGACAATACGTCGTTTGTGGTATCATGGTATGAGGTGGAAACTTAATCTTATGCACATTCGTACAAATTCATGTCTATCGTTAGCCTCTCCGTTTTGTCGAATGAAAGACTTTCTATTATTGTCCACTTGTCATGTGCTTGTGTTATGTTCTGCGCGTTACAACTAATTCGTCTTTTAACATTGGTTAAAGGTCGGGTAATAATTTTTCATAACTAGGCATAGAAATGAAACGTATATATATAGAGAAATCATTTTAGTAATATAATATTATTATATAAATAAGATGGAATGTTATTTAGGTATATATTATATATCTAATTGTTAAATAATTAATTTTTAATGAAATAATATAAAATTGATATAAAGGGAAATAATCAATTTAGATAATGAATCACTATAAATATAATAATATTTTTAATAAACTTGTGTTGAGAGTTATCTATTGTTTTAATGTTTAATTTTTTTTTGTTATTTTTATATTATATTATATTATATTATATTATATTATATATATATATATATGAATAAAATTGGTTTTTTTGCATTTTTCTTTTTTCTTTCTTCCTTATCTTTTTTTCTTTTTTGTCATATGGAAATGTTTTAAGATGATAATCATTGCTAATGACATTTCATTATAGTATTAAAGCTTTTCGTTTAAAGAGCTATATTGTATACTCCATCCTTCTTGATTCTTTTTTTTATTAATCTTAAGATCTCTTGTTTTCTTTTCTATCATCATCGGAGAGAAGTAATCTATTCATAGTTTCTTTTACTTTCATCTAGCGAAAATTCATCCACTACCCTTATTTCCATGTTCTTGATTTGACCAATTACTACTATAGAGCATGTCCATGATTACTGCACTTAGCATAAAGGAAAAAAAAGGTTAAACTCATACATGGGAGTGTTCCTCAACCACCCAAATCTGACGCCACCTACTACTTGGAATCGTTGCAACCGTGTGGTGGTACCTTAGTTGGTAAGCATCATATGGATGAATATGACTTATAATATTTGGAATGATTTTAAGAACATATAAGGAGATCTCTTTCATGTATTAGCTCTTTAAATATTCATTAAATCAAGGTGATCTAAATACTCCACTAAACTCATAATCATATAAAATGAATTGAAATGGATCCTATATGCTCTTGTTAGACAAAATGTTATTGTTTTGTGTCATTCACTAGTGTAGAATGGGTATTTTATGTCGCATAATTTATATTTTTTATGTCGCATATAAGACTGACGTTAAAATAGGAGATGTATATTTATGTTGATCCCTTCGCTTCGATTTAAATTCACGTCAATTATCGAGACTTGACGTTAATCTACGTTGCATATAGTACTAAATAGACGAAAAATGTTTCGTAAATTTAAAAAATTGGACGAAATTTACGTCACATATATCAATATGCGACGTATTGTCTTACAACCAAAACCTTCAAACATATATTATAATCAGACTGTCCAGAGGTTCAAGTTTTTTTAGCTAGTAAATAATAAATACAATATTATATATAATTCAAACTACGAAAGTTAAATTAATACACCATGATAGGTACAAAAACTACCTAAACTACGTAATAAAACAATATAATACAAATAATAACTTACAAACTAAAATATATTACAAACTAAACTACTTAAACTACATAATACATACACTAAATAGGCTTTTAACATCGGTTCCCAGGGACTTTTAACATCGGTTCTAGAACCGATGTAGATACAACCGATGTAGAAAGTCTAATATTTTTTTTATTTTATTTATTCATAACACATCTCTAATTACCCTATCTATTGATCTAGAGTTTCCTAGACTATCCTCTCCCTTTTATAACCCTTTTATATTATATTTTTATTATTTATATTTTTTAGGAATTTGAATTATTATCAGATTAAGAGAATTGTCACTGGCAAGATTCGAACCTAGTACCTTAGAGTCGGAGGTCGATACTCCAACCACTAAGCTACCAGGGTTTTCTCGATAATAACTTATACATAAATTATATTTATATACAAATAAAAATGTATATCCATGTAAATATATAAATATAAAATATATAAATACAAATACAAATATATTTATATATTTATATGTTGGATGTGAGGACGCGCTCGAGAATGAAAGTGTGTGTCGAGTGAATTTTTAAAATTTGATGTCAAATTTGTGAGCGGGTCTCTTTATATGGATTATAACTTAATGACAAAATATAATCTTTATAATTTATTTATATAATGATATAAAATAATTTTTTTCTTTATTTTATATCATTATATAAATTAATTATAAAGATTATATTCTATATTATTATAAATAAATTATAAAGATTATATTCTATCATTAAATTACAAATTCATATAAAGAAACTTGCTCACAAATTTGACATCAAATTTTGAAAACCCACTTGACACACACTTTTACTCTCGAGCGCGCTCTCACATCCAACATATAAATATATAAATATATTTGTATTTGTATTTATATATTTTATATTTATATATTTACATGGATATACATTTTTATTTGTATATAAATATAATTTATGTATAAATTATTATTAGAAAATCTTGGTAGCTTAGTGGTTGGAGTATCGGTCTCCGACTTCAAGGTATTGGGTTCGAATCTCGCCAGTAACAATTCTCTTAATTTTATAAAAAGACTTTCTACATCGGTTCATCCGGGAACCGATGTAGAAAGTGTTTTCTACATCGGTTCATCTGGGAACCGATGTTGAAAGTCTTGAATTCACTTTCTACATCGGTTCTTAAAGAACCGATGTGGAAAGCCCGATGTTAAAAGTGATTTCTGTACTAGTGATACAATATAATACCAACAATAACCTACAAACTAAGTACTAGAATTGTTGAACGAAAAACATTGCCCATTGTTCTCTAATTTGTGTGATATCATATTCTGGCAATGTAGATGAATCTTAAAATACCTAAAATATTAATTTAACTCTTGTAAACATGCAACATGCATAAAGTTAAATAAAGTTAATTAATGTTGAAAGTAATTACCTCCGTCTCGGTTATACTCGTACAAATTATGAATAAAACATACCACATTCAAATGAGTTTGTTTGCTTATTACACTGAAATGATGAATAAAACATAATGTTATTTTCAAAATTTAAATACAAACAATAATTATGGTGTTCACTTATATAAATAAGTTTTTAACCTTAGGATAAATGAACTGCAAACTCTTTGTTCTGGGTCTTCTACTTAGAACATTAGT